GCCAAGCTTCCCTTTGTACATAGAACCCTCCCTAATTCTTATACGTGATGGCATCAATAATGGCTGACTGGAAGCTACTGAATCAGGCTTTACGTAGGCCATCAAAATAAGGCGATTACTGCTTTGTGCTCAATGCTCCCTCAACAAAGGGAAATCGATACACCCTGAACTTGGGAACCGCCTTGAAAACTACGAGGCTACAGTTAGAAGGAGATAATGAAAGTACGATCGGACTGCGTTCCCATAGCCAATTCCCTCTACATTCTGCAGCTAAGAAGTGCTGGATAACACCTAATCGGCTGCTTCAGCCATTTCCATGAGGTTTGCACGCGATGGAAATCTTGACTACAGCAAGCCCAGGCAAGCGTCGCAGAGGTCAACTTCTCACAGGTAAAAAAGCCTGTGAAAATTGCTCAGTAAAGGTGGAGAAATCACTGAGTAAAGTAAAACATCTTGCTGAAGTATATAGGCTCTTTTATGCCACGGGAATGTGTGCGTGTGTGTGTGTCCTATAAAATGTTTCTGAATTCCAAACACATTAATTTAGTCCAAAAAAGATGATGCACTTTTATTTACTAGCCGCATCCCCTAGCCTTAACTAGCCTTGCCCTCACTTATTGACCCTAATTATTTAATGCCCTCCGTTGGGTAGTGAAATTTCACCCCTCCAATATCTTCATATTCATCTCGATTACGATTTTAAGCCGTCAAAATCGATTTTTACGCAGTTAGGGTGGGAGGAGATAAAAACATAATTGAAGGTTTAAAATATTTAGTTTATTAAGTTGATAATTTAGATATTCATATGATGGAACTAATCTTGGTTGCGGAATTATAACAGTTTTCTTGGCGTGTTAAAGACCGTGTCAGATCTAAAGCGAAACCAAGTGTTCTTTTGTGACTTTTCAGCACTACTTAAATGAAAACTCGCTTACATCTTCAATTGATTTAGTAATTAGACGATTATTGGAAAATAACTATATACGTTTCCTACATTTTCCTCTAATTATTAGTTTTGCTTCCAACTAGGCCTCAATGAGATCTTTATGTCTAAACGAATTTATCGATTCACCTAGTTTAATGGGCAGAGGTGTGTGATAGACTTACCTTTATGTGGTGCACCCTGGTCAACGCATACTCCTTCGGCAAAAAGGTCTGTTAAGCTGCACTTGACTTCAGACTTCCATTACCCCACTGTATGTCATATTCAACCACTTCCACAGTACTCATCTTTCCCTTTCTCTGCCTTTTTGTCTGCCTGTCTGTCCGTCTTTTTTTACATCTTTGAATCACTCTTCTGTTCCCCCTCTCTCGACTGTTTTTTCCACTTTGTCTGTTCCTCCCCTCCATGAAGTCCGAAGTCAACTAAAGGGCCAATGATAACTATCAAAACGCCTGTCATTTGATATGAATAAATAAAGTTAAATAAGCAATTAGTTTCATCAAAAAGTGCCGTTATGTTCCTACCTCGGGGTGTGCGATAGACTTACCTCCACGTGGTGCACCCTGGGCAACGTATACTCATGCGGCAAAAAATGTCTATTAATCGGCAGTTGACTTCTCACTTCAAACTTCCATCACCCCACTGTATGTCATATTCGACCCCTGTCACAGTACTCGTCTTACCCTTTCTGAGCTTTTGTGTCTGTTTCTTTTATATCTTTGAAACACCCTTCTATTCCCCCTCCTGAATTCTTCTCACTTTGATGTTCCTCCTCCCCTCTGTGAAGCCACTCTAATGTTCCTCCTCCCCTCTGTGAAGCCCCTAAAGGGCTAACGATAACTATCAAAACGCCTGCCATTTGTTATAAATAATTAATGTTCCTACCTCACTCGTGTCCTTAAGTGAATGACTCTTTAAGCTGACCTTGTATTTCCAATCACAGACACTCACACATTTTCACGCGCAAAACTTATTGGTCTATTACTGCTCGCGTACTACCCTCTCATGACACTGCGTAATCTCTCTAATGGCCAGTCAATTAAATTTGCGGAGTATATAGAGTTTCTGGTTCAAGATAAGCTCTACTTGTTCATATTATGGCTAAGGGCAAGAGTGGCCCGGTTAAAAAAGCAATCAATAATTCAAGTGGATAAGTGAAGAATGAAAATAGGTCGCTTCAAACGCGAGCCGATGGAAACACACTGATGAGTGAATTGTCCTAGCAATGTAGCTTTCACACAACCAAATTATCTTGGCCTCAAAGCTACCTTTGGTGGGTATAAGTCACCACAGTTGACCCTGGTATAACATAAATTTCTCCCAATACGCTAACTCATCACACACAACGAAGTATGTATTGCCCCGAATTCCAGGCGCTTACATCGGTTCTTTTTCGGTATGCGACTTTTATTCGCAATTCACAACTTCTGTGCATTTCCGGAGGGTTGACATTCTGCCAATACAATGAGAAGGAGGGAATTATTCCAGATTTTCAAAAGTTCAAAGATGCTCAGTGAACAGAATTATACAATATTTTGAATGATTTAGGCATAATGTTGCTGCAGTTTACCACTTGTACCGTGTTCCCTACAATGAATGGTATTTGAGCCTAATAAGAGGGGGCTTTTGAGTGGCAAAATTGATAAGTGGTTTAACACTTTGGAAGGCTTTAAGAATCAGCAACACGGCCATGACTATGGAAGACACAATTGTAACAGTTGTTTGCATCTAAGCGAAAGTAAGTTGAGATAGGCCATGTTCTTGCACACTCAAATTGGCTGAAAAAAGTGGTTGAAAGAGTAATTCTCAATGTATGGGAAGTACTCTTCGAACAGAGCAAGAATTTGAAAAGTTCTTTTTTCAAATGGCAGGCTTTATGATATTTGTCATTAGCTCTTTAACTTTGACTTCAGCTTTCCCCATGGATAGGGGGGGGGGTACATATGTAGCAGTTTATTAGCTGTCTTCTTGCTTCTCAGTATCTCTGGCTTTCCGTCGTTGTCTTTAGGGCTAAACACCGAATCACGTGGGTCTTTTCCACTTCCACCTGTAGGTTACATAGGGAGCATGTGGGTTGCGTGCATACTCCCAATCTGTGAAGGTGTTTTGCCAGGCAATAGTTTCCGGTACGTAGTCTAAACTCAGCAACGGCTTCGATTCTTGGCCAGTCGGCTATGTCGGAGAGTGCCACTGTCTACTGTTTCTCCATTGTTCGAGCTTTAAGTTCGTTGCACCTTGAGGTCTGGAATTCTCTCCTGATTAAGGCCTTCATTGTGTGGAAAGACATCGGCCGGTCCATGCATTGCAAAATCGTTGTCCCCTTCTTAGCAAGTGTGTCAGCAAGCTCATTGCCTTTAATGCCACAGTGACCAGGAATCCATTGGAGGACTACTGTTTTGTTTTTCTCTCTCAGCAGCTGATAGAATTGTCTACATTCCTTTATCTCAGCTGTTTTGGGTGGCTCTCTGTTTCCAATTGAGTTTATTGCTGACTGCGAGTCTGAAAGTATTACTGCTTTGGTGAATTTCGTATGAAGGCAACATAATTGGCTTAGTGCTATCCTAATGGCCTCTATTTCTCCTTCGAAGGCGGATCTATTGTGTCCTGCTGCGGCGTAGAAAGAGAAGAATTCAGAATAGACACCTGTCAGGTAGTAGTAAATGATGTAAACGAGGCTGGCTAGAGGTTTCTGGACTCAATTACCACAAGTAAGAGGATCTATAATTCAAGTGAACTGCATTTTTTACACAAAATCACTTGCTTATAAAGATTTTGAAGGATCATAATCACTAGGATGTTTAATTCGCCTATGATAGCACGGTTCTGTGATCTCATATGAGGCCCGTATCGTAGAAATCCACAGTGCCCCCCATGATATTTGAAGTGGATTCGTGTCTTAACCTTAAACAGCAAATAATGTCCTTGAGAATTCTTCTTTGTTTAGGAGCAATTTACAAAGCCATGGGATGCTCAAAATACAGACTTAATACTCTGATCTCAATAAGCGTATTTGGTTAATCTATACTCCACTGATTTTGAGAGCATGTAATTCATGTACCAAATCAAATGGTCAGGTGTTCAGTTCATGAGTCAAAAGTCAACGAACTTCATTCAGCTGCATTGAAAATTTAAATCGACTACTTAACAACGATGATTCATAGAAATATCTCATTAAAAAATCCACAAGGCTTCTAATCAGTAGGGTGTCAACACACTCTATGCAGAAATTTTAGGGGAAATAGTACGCAATAGGTATTGAAGAATTGACTTTAGGCTCCTGTAAGTGGCTACCATGAGTTATCTCCTTTTGTCTAATTACCAGCCTCTTGCATATAACACCTCAATTTATGTTTCTTGTTCCTTTTATTACGCCTCAATTCTGGATAAAAACATATGGCAAGTTGAAGTGCCCAATTCCGTCAAAATATCATCTTAGTATTGTGATGCGTTTTTCTTTATTTGCAGTTCTTCCGATTTTGTGTTGATGGTGGAAGAAATATGGACTATTCCTCCAGGTGTGACGTATAAACCAACAATTCGTTTGATTGTAATTTAGTGGACCGGAATAAGAAGCTCATGTCAAAGGAACGCACCATCAAACTTTTCTCTTTGGAATGCTGCCGATCTATTTTAGAATGAAGTTCAAAGAGTTCAAATCTCGTTCACTCGTTTTTGTTTATTGATTTTTCATGCCCTTATCTTGGAATGCACACACACATACACACACACACAGTGACCATTGCTTGTTGGTCGGCTGAGGGGTCATTGCAATCGTGACCTCATTTGCTCCCCAACGCGATTAACCCCACGTTGAAGAATGTTTCAGTGCACATGAGGTTGCTCACTTCAATCATGCTAGAATTTTTAACCCTACGGAGGTCAAAACTGAGTTAGTCATTCACTACCTATTGCAAATAAATAAGGGGTATTTGTCGATGGATGCTAATTAACTGCAGTAAGCCACAGATGAGTCACCAATGTTTTACTGTAGGTGAAATGTGTTGCATCGCACAGGCCTAATAGCTTTAGCCAACATATAGGTTTGAGATAATTGAGTTTACAAGAGTAACTTTATCGGGAAAAAAAATACTCAAAACTGAATTCAAAATTGTAAGTAGCGTAATCTTCTCCAACCGCTG